CAGCCACAGGCCACACAATAAAATATACATGTCTGTGGCATAGAAGTGGCAGACAAACGTTAAGGAGACTGAGTGGAGAGGACCCACCCCTGAGGTGTGAAACCAGACAGGAGACTCAGACAGGGGTGAGCTGCACTCCTAGGAGGGCTCTAGTCCTGTCTATTTGCTTTTTGTCACTAATCACCTAAGGCCCTGGGGTGGGGGAGCAGAGATTTTAATAGATTTCCACTTAAAAGGCTCAAAATCACATAATTCATTCCATCCCACTTCAATTATAATTACTACCTGACTCCAGCTTGCCAATCTGACACCTAGCAGTCTGTCAACAGCGGACAGGGCTTCGCCTCATAAATAAGGTGTGCAAGCTTATTAACTAACTTTTAAAACATGTTTTTCCTCAGCTCTCAGGAAAACCAAACTCCAGGATAGGAAGGCATATTTAACCAGCAATTTGTACAGATGATGTCCTAGGGTGTGTCAGTTCCAGAAGTGGAGAAAGTGGGATTCATATCCCCACTTCAGCATTAACCAGGTAAAGGTTAATCAGCTGTGTGACACTGGACACATCCCTCCACCTCTCTGAGCCTCAGTTTCTTCACAGTAAAATGAAATCAACTTGTTCCTGCCTCTCCAGGTTAAGGTGGAATCTACAGAGACCATCCAGACAAATGCACAGCATGGTGCACTGCTGTGAGCTGTGACGCCACACGCCACACGTTAAGCATCCATTAGCAGGAATTATTACCACGATTTAGAAAAAACTGGAAACCAGGAGGTAGGGGGATTAACAAATCACTCCCCTTGTGCCCTCAAAAGGGCAGAGGCTTGCTCTGCCCCTCCCCAAATAGCTAATGCTTAGAGACAAAATGTTCTTCCTGAATATCACCCCGTTCTCACCAACTTCTTTTCTATGATGTTCCTTGAACAAAGAAAATGGAAAAGTGGGTCTCTCATCAGGAGTCTGCCCCAAGGACGGGAACAGAAAAGCTCAGGGTTGAGAGGAGTTAGGAAAAGAGGCAAACTCTTGAAACGACCTTTAAAACACTCTAGTAGCCAAACACAAGGATTCCTTCCACTCATCTGTCCCTAGTTATCATTCCCCCTACAAAATGGTGCTGATGATACTATTAGGATTTAAAGCTACTAAGTAAATTAAATCAAGTGCTGGATTGCTGAGTTTTATATCAAAGCTAAAAAAACTGGAAAAGAAAAATTCTAAGGAGACCAACTAAAACAGTGATGCAAGCCAGTGGCAACCTGCCTAGAGAATTCCTGGATACTCGAGAGTTTCCAGATGCAAAAACCAGGGAATAACAAAAGGGTTGGGCAGTCAGAGTCCAGAAGCTTTAGAATTTGAATATGTAGACCAGTCACTCTCCAAATTCAGTATACATAAGAATCCCTTTTTGAGCTCTCAAAAAATACAGACTCCTTAGCTAGGCGTTGTGGCGGGCACCTGTAGTCCCAGCTACTTGGGAGGCTGAAGCAAGAGAATCACTTGAGCCCAGGAGTCTGGAGGTTGCTGTGAGCACCACAGCACTCTACCCAGGCGCGACAGCTTGAGACTCTGTCTAAAAAAAAAAAAAAAATACAGACTCCTGTACCTGCCCTTCTGTGATTTTGATAAAGGTCTGGTGTGGCACCGGGAATCTGCATTTTAATTAGTAGCTATATCTGTGCAGGTGGCACCGAAATACTGACAGCCTTTCCCACAAAGCCTGTTCAGCTGCTTTGTTTGTGGGCAATGAACACTTTCCCTTAGGCAAGAGATTGAAGGGAAGAAACAGTACTTTAATCTCTAAGGTTGGTAAACTTTCAATATAGTCAATAGAGGTTAGTTACTTGCTAGAAAAAATGAAATATTCATATACATACCATGGATTGGGTAAAAAATAAATTATATTCAGATGATTTAATATTTCTCTGAGATAGAATAAATTCAATGTCTGAGTGAAAGGCAACAGGCAAACTATCCAAACTACCTGTCACCTGAAGTTAGCAGCCAAGGTAATATTTTTTCAACCACCCATTTGGAAGGGAAGCTTGGACCAAAAGCACAATAGGACCACCATATTTAGGAACTCACAACAGGAAAGGTTAAATACAACTACATCTGAAAAATGGCTCTCACCACACCACATGAACCCACAAAGAGGTGTTGGGATACAAGGTGACCTAATATTTTCATAAATAACTTGAAAGATAGAATGGGAATTATGCAAATCAACCACAGATGATACAAAAATGGCAGGAATTGCAAATCTGTGGAGAATGAAATTTAACTACTGGGCAATGTCTTTAAATTTGCCTTTATTGAATCTTGTATATTGAAGTCAGATTATTGGATGTGTTTATCCAAGTGCAGGGTGATTAATGGAAGATGGAATAATCAAATGCTCAAGCAGAAGAACAAGCACCTGGAGAGGCAGACGGCGGGCAGAAAGGACAGGCTGCAATTGGAGGTTGTTGAGATGGTGGACACACAATGGGGTGGCCAAAGCCTTCTACTTTGTGTAGACAGGGGTTGTGCTAAGAGCTAATGCATGAAATAAACAAAAAAAATTGTCTGCTGCTCTTTGAGCCACTCGACCTTGATGCTAACTCCAAAGGGAGTCTGTAAATATAGACCTGGGGAATTTAGAGCAGAGTACCATAGAGATTATGGGGGTGGGGCCCTAGGTCAACCAAGAATTGGAGGGATGTTAAGAGAACATGCCGATTTATTTGAGAAAGATGCACAAAAGACAAGGGGACCCATAGGAGAGAAATGTTCAGCTCCTATTAAGGAAAAACAATCATTCAAAGCACAGCTGGCATCATGGAAGAAAGGGCAGCTTGTGGTAACACCATCCCCTGGGGACACTCAAGGAGGCATCCAGACACCTCTCTACTTAGGATGCATTAGAGATTATTAAAAGCACTCCTTGCCCAGTTCAGGGACTGGGGGTGGGCCTCATGACCTCTCCAAAGGTCATTTCTATCCCAAAGGATCGTATGTCTGAAGGGCACCAGATAAAAATAAAATCTATTAATCACTGAGCTGCCACACAATTTCCTAAGAGAGCCAGAAGAGAGAAGGGTAATCCACAGTGACCCTCCCTCCATCGAGAGAGGAAGACAGAGGCAGCACATGCATGGGCAGAGCCAAGACAGCAGCCAGGGAGACTTCCAGAAAGCTGGCAGTAGCCTGTGATTAGGCCTCCCAGGACTAGAGCACTGGAGGAGGAGACTCTGTGGGGAGGGGAACAGGAAGCAGCAAAGAGCACTGAGAGCTTATAACAAAGCCAGAGGGGCTTGGAGGAGAGGGTTTGATGTAGGTACTTCATGCAGGAAAAGGGAAACCAGGCAGGGAGACAGTTCACAAGGAGGCCAAAGTCAGAGACAAAGGTGGGAAGAGAGCAAGTGGGGGTGGGAGAGGTCAGAGAAAGGGGCACACGGTGTGACTGAGAACGTTGGGATTGCATTGGCTGGGGGTCCAATGGAAGCTATAGAGATAGAGCAGAAAGTCATCCCACTTTCCACGGTAGCAGAAAATCACATGATTTTTAGAATCCGCTTTAAAAAAAAAAAAAAAAGGAACAGAGTGGCAATGCTCCAGCTCCAAAGCAGCTGTTGGCATTGTTGATGGATGGGCTGCTCCAGCCAGACACAGCTAGGAAGCCTGCTCCAGGGGAGTCTGCTGACCCTTACCTGTCCCAGCCCAAAGCCAGTCTCCCAAAGGCTAGCAGGCTTGGGCTGTTACGTGTCAGAAGACAAGACCCCAGGCCAAAGCAGGCTCTTCCTGGTTTTGCCAAGAGGCGTCAGTCCTTACACTCTGCTTCCTCCTTGGCCTGGAGTGGACTGCTTTGGGTAGAGATGGTACCTGCAGGAGTTGTCTCAAGAATGGCATCTGTCGAGTGTATAAGTAGCCAATTGGGGGTCATGGAGTTTGAGTTCTTCTAGCAAAATGTTCTCCACTGAGCACAGAACAACTTTTTGAAATCAAAAGAGGCAAGAGACCAATGGGGAGGAAGGAAAAGTACACCACCCCCAGCATGTTCCCAGTGCCCCCTCCCTCTCCTCCCGCTCTCTCCATTCTGCCTTAGCAAGGACTGCAGACCCTGGCAAGATGGGCAAGGAGCCCTGAGGAACGCCATGCCAGGGTCCCACCTCAGCTGGGTTGCTGCTGTCCTCACTGCAGCCCCTTCTCTACAATGACAGAGGTCTGCGTCCTTAGAGAGAAGATGGGAAGGGGAGACGGGCAGGAGTGTGGCTTTGAGAGCTGCCCTGAGTGAAACAGCAGAAGGCACCTGATGCAGGAGGAAGACAACTCGGGCAAAGACCTCAAAGTCACCACCCAGTGCTCTGGCGGGTAAGAGGGACAAAGCTGTCTGAAGCAGACCACATCCTCCTCAAGATGCCAAGGTTCCCTGACACTCTTGTCCCTCAGGCCTTCCCTAGCACTATCTGGAGACCCTACATCCAGGAGCCAGTCAGTCACTTGTCCAAATGATGATTCTGAAACAAGCAAATGGCTGGAGATGGATTGAGGACCATTTATTAAGTAAGTCATTGCATAGGAAGATTCATAACTTGCCCTACCAAGACAGGAGAGAGAAAAGAGAGAAATTAAAGGGAAACAAATGAAGAGCCACAAAAGCCAAGTACCTTTGTCGGATGGTTTTGAGTTATGCTTTTGTTTGTAACTCTCTGAAACAGAGAAAGAAATAGCGAATGAATCTTAAAGGACACCAAGTGAGAGGGAGCTGGAGCAGTGCACACAGGAGGGCACTGCAGAGAGGGCAGCACAGAGCCAGGGCAGAGGCCCCCACTGGCTTCCCCTACAAAGACCCCCGCAGGAGGTGGGGGCTGCCGTGGAGGTGGCGGGCAGCAAGCTGGGGTACAGCCTGAGAGAGGCAGGCGAGCCTGGGGGTGGGCTGGCGAGCTGACAGCCACGAAGCACAGGGCAGGGTGGGCAGGGGCAGGGTTAAGGAAGGAGAGTGGGACCCGCCCATACTTACTGTCACAGACGTAAGGCTTGTCATGGTCTTCCTGAGAGGCAGCGTCATGCCTCCTCCGGCCCCCCGCAGAGCCACGAGCCTGGGGAGACAAGAGGTAAGGGATACTTATTACAGCCATCTCTACGGGGCAAGCTCACTTTGTGAGGCCCTGAGTGCCACACTGATCTCCTCAAGCTGCCCATAGCGCCCTTGTGCCACAGCAACCCCATTGTACAGGCCACAGAGCTGAGGACCAGAGAGGTTGGATAACTTGCCCCAAATCACTCAATTACTCTCTTGTACATCTTGTTAAGTCATCACAACCCCCAAAGGAGTTACTCCTATGCTCCTCCTTTTACACAACAGAGAAATGAGGCAACAGACAGAGGTTAAGGAGCTTGCCCAAGGTCATTCAGCTACTAAGTGCAGAGCCAGGATCTGAACTCAGACTGAATGAAAAACTCGTAACCGCCCAATGCCCTCACACTGTCGCTGCCTCCAGGGCCTCCTTAGCCTTCTAGCTTCACTGACGCAGCGTAAGATGCCAGCCCTGCTCTGCACACGGACCAGCTCATGAGTCTACTGAGAGCAAGTCCTGATGGGGCAAGAGGCGTAACTGCAGTTGTCACCCAGGTTCCTGTGCCTACACTTCCCACCCCCCAAGGGTCCCAAGAGCCAGCCAGGCCTGGTGTCTGGGCTCAAGGCACAAGCCTGGCTCAGAGTCCCTGGCTCCTCAGCCACGCCTGGCCTACTGTGTGGGGGCAGGTGTCTGCTCAGGCCTCCCTGTGTGGTCTGCTGGGGCCTCCAAGCAGTGACAAAGGCCTTGCCCCTCTTGGTCTCCTGGCTGGATTCCTGACACCACCATGCTGTGTGCATCTCCCGGAAAGGGTCACCGTGACCTCAGGTGGGGGTAGAGTGAGCTCTACCTTCAAGAATCAAAGAGACCAGCCAGAGAGGTCGCTGGCAGCTCCACAGCCCCAGGATGGTGGCTACAAGAACACAGCGAGGTTTATTTTTAAACCTTTGTAAGTCCCACACTGGTCACGTGTGTAGCACCCCTGCCTCCTCCAGGTCATTCTTTGGTAACGAGTAGCAGTAAACTCCCAACCAGGAAAAGGGCCTGCCAAGGTCTTTGGGGAGAGGAGGGCGCAGCAGATGAGGAATAAGACATGACAGCAGCTTGGGGTACAAGAGAAATAGGGCAGTCCTAGGGGCCTGGCCTGGAAGAGTAGTCCTGGGACCTCACAATGGAAAGGATGGGGCTGCTCCCACACACGCTCACATACACGCACAAGTGCACACACTCACTGGGACCTCACAGTGCAAAGGCCTACAACCCAGGCCTTCAACACTCACACACTCACAAAAACACATACTTCACATCAACGCCACCTGCCAAGCTGCCACCTCTGCCACCTCTTCAGCTTGTCTCTCTCCAAAACAAATTCCTCTTCTCTCCCTCCCTCCCACCCACCGTCTCCCTCCACCCCACCCCTGCCCACACTGACAGCCAGCAGCCCTCCTCCCCTCGCCCTCATTACTCAGAGTTGACCCCAAGAGGGATCTGTTGGCAGTCACCCCAGGCGCTGACAGGCCTCCCGCCTGCCCACGCTGCTGAGGGTGGTCACCCTCAGCTGCCCTCCCCCACACACCCCTGGAGGAAGCCAGGGACAGCTTGATGTGCTGCCCGCAGCCCTGTCACTGCTGCCTCTGAGCAGGTGAAAGCAAGTGAAGCAGAATGGCAAGGCAGCAGCAGACCCTGGGAAGGGGCTCTGCCAGGCTAAAAATACTTCTGGAGAGAAGGGGAGGAGCTGTGCAGGGCTGGAAGTCACCCTTGCTTGTGGGGGAGCCGCCAGCAGGAAGGCGAGAGCCCTGCTTAGAGCCAGGCTTTAATCCTACCCTGCAGGGCTGGCAGGCAGGGTCCCCATGTGCTCCCACACTCCCTGGGCCTCAGTTTCCTCAATTGCAAAACAGGCATCATGGCTACAGGGCACTCAAGGGCATGTGCAAGAGATTCTTCCTGAGGTAGTACTCTTACGGTCTCCTAAAGGATCTCAGGCTTGGAAATGTGAACTCCTACTTGTCCTCCTCAACTGTCGCTCCCTCAAAGCCCTCCCTGAGCAACTCATGTCCACTTACACCCTCTCCTTCATCCTCCTTGCCCTCCCCTGCTTTAATTTTCATCACAGCACTGAGCACTCCCTGGCATTAGCAGACACGGATGTTGGTTTACTTGCCGATTTTCTGTCTCCTCCATGTAAGGGTGGAGACCATGTCTATTTGGGCCACCACTATTCTCAGAACCTGGCATAAGGCCAGCCACATAAGCAGCACTAAGTAAATGTTTGAAAACAGATCTGCCAGGCAGGCAGCATGTCAATCATCTTTCGTTCTTCTCCTACACTCTCTATATCCAAAGGCTATTGGCTTCGTCCTTCAAGGGTTGCCCCAGGCTTTGCATTTCCTTTCTGTTCCACACCCTGATCTAGGAGTTCACTGAGTGACCCCTGAACTGCTCAAACAACCCACTAGATGGGGTTCTACCTCCATGCTGCCCCCCAGTCTACCCTGCATGGCCACCAGATCACTTAGACAAAAGGGGTGAAGGACAGGAGCCCATGGTCACTCATTCATTGCCACCTACAACCTGTTTACACAGCCAGTGGCAACCTAGTCCCAATCCCGTTAGGTTCACCCCTTGCTCATGCTAAGTCCATGTCTTGTTTTTATTGATCCCTGTCACAGACCAGTCTCTCCTCTGCCCATCCACATCCGTCCATGCTTCACCCTCACTACCATTCCACTTGTCCAAGAATCCTCCACACTGAGGAGTGAAGAGTATCAGCCTAAAGTCAGTGGGACGTAGGTTTAAACACAAGCTATGTGCCTTGGACAAGTTACTTCTCTGAGCTTTAGTTTCCTCAACTGTAAAACAGGCACAATGGCACCGAGACAGCAGAGTTGAGAGCGTTAGAGCTAAGAGGATTTGAAACTGCAGGGACAGCGCTGAGTCCATGGGAAGTGCCCAGTAATTTCCCTCCTGGCCTGCTGATCTCTCCGACCTCCGGACTCCTGTTGCACTGGGTTAGTGCACAGCCAGAAGCCTGCTGTTTCCTAATGGTATCCTGGTGTTAGCACCTTCTCCCCAGTTGAGTCTATGGTCCTTGAGGGCAAAGATGGCATTTTATTCTTTATTAGGA